GTTATACTGTATGTCTCTTGAGGTTTACTTGTAATGTTAATAAAGTTTTTTGCAAGAAAAACAAATAAATATGTGGGGAAATTATTATTAGTTTTAAGGGGTGGATCTTTTAAAGGGGACATCAGATGCTAAATTAACTTTTACATGGTGTTTGAACATAAATGTGTGTTGGCAGTGTGTGTACACAACCAACCTATAATGACAAAAATCCACCCAGTGCTTTTTTTTTTAAATTCCCCACAAATAATAAGCAGTCTCATATCTAGCCTTTCACAGATTCTTGGCAGTGTGACATCACACAGGCAGGCCCCTCCCACGACTGTAGACGAACACTGGCGTTTCAGCATTGACCCGCTCTGAGTGAACTGTAAACTGTAAGGCCCCCTCCCCCACGGCTTTGAAGAGAGGGGCGGGGTGAGCAGAACTCATTAGCATTTAAAGGCACATGCACTAAAATGGCTTGCTGTTTGCGGAGATGTTTTTGGTAAAAGGGGTCTTGTTTTACAATACCATTGAGAAATTTTAATCAAAGTATGTTATAGACTTTTCATGAAGACCCTAAAGAATCATACCAGCTTTTAGAAAATGGACATCTGATGTCCCGTTTAAGGCTTGTCAGGAATTGGCCATTGTTATGATTGACTTGCTATTGCATGCAGGTGTTTTGACAACATGATTTAAAAAAAAGGTCATTTCCAGACAAAGCATTATAAAATCATTTAATTACGGTTTATGATGCAGCTGCAGTCAGATCTAGTATCGCTTCATCTTTCAACAAATTCGTTTTTTGTGAACTCTCCATGACACTGTGCCTCGTTTACAAAACGAAATCCTCCGAACAATCTGGGATGCCATCAGAAATTAACTATCCATTTGTTCCTTATGCGAGGATCCTTCTGATATCTGTACAAAGATGCGAACAAGCTGTTTAAACCAATCGCGTCAAACAATTAAGCGAACATTCTTTCATTCCATTTGTCCTGACAACAGACTCATGCATGTGGACTGTGTCAGAAAGTGAACGCGCATCTGTATACTAGTATACTTGTAGACAAGATAGCGGCAGTGGTTGTAATTTCTGTTTGCTTTTGATGAGACACATAGTCATGTGTCAGCCGTGGGCGGGGCCTATGGCGAGAAGATGACTATTCATCGATGTCTTGCTCTGGAGGCAGTGTTTATGCAAATGTTTGAGCCCAGGTAATGTCATCTTGCACCTCAGATCCAAATCAGCAGTTTTTGGAGATTGATTGGACATTTTAAGCTATGAAACTTGCAGGATGTTTTAATGGTACAAAGACAAAAGAGCTCATCTACAAGAGCTCTATTCACTGCAAAATTATATTTCTGCAGCACACAAGTATAAATATTTCTGTTGAATTATATTTTTACTTTATTAAATTTGTATAGAAAACAAATACTTTTGCTCTGATACATTTGTCCAGACACTTTCATTACTTTTGTGACTGCAAACTGAAAATACACAAGAGCGTTATAGTCAAGTCACCGTTATAGCTACTACTAGTGATTTTGTTTGCAGAAAGATCAGTCATTTTCACTGCATCATTTACAAAATATCTGGTAAAGCACATTTCACCATTTCATTCAACAAGTAGGCAAAAACGTGATCATAGTGACTCAATCCTCCATTAATCATAATCGGGTCATTCTTACTATTCGGTAACTTGGTAACTTTCCATAAAAAAAAAATTACATTTCCATGATGTAATCATTTTATCTGAAGAAGAGCTTGTTACACTATAAGAAAAATATATTGGTCCAGCTCAGGATTTTATTCTTTAATAATTTTTCACGGAATTCCTCAGACGTGCAAGGACCAAATGTCCACCCTGTTACAAGACATTCTCATCTCAATTAACAAGTGTTTTGAATGTACAGTTATTGTAATATTTACATTTTCTAAGAGCTAAAATGTCCCTCTCTTTACTCTGTAAATGTATTTTAACAAAGTGTTCGTAATCGGGCATTATCTTGAAAAAAGTTGTTGTATTTTTTAGACACAGTGTAATTTCAAGTGTACATATCTTTGAGAATAAAAATACATTTAAATGGAATTATGGAAACATTTTAACTTATTTCATTTTACCATTTCATTCCCTACAAGTAACCACAAAGATATGCATAACATGCATTTGTTGAACTTATTTTAGTAATATCACAAAAACACTGAGGTAACAGGGTGGACAGAGGGGGAAACAGGGTGGACGGGACTTAACAGGGTGGATATCACACCACTAAACAAAAGTATATTTCAACATGTTGCCTAATACAAGAAGCATATTGCTCACACTACGCAACAAGATTTGTTCTCATCTGTCGTTGTCTTGTCATAGCTGCGCGCATACTACACAACACAACGCTACACTGTAAAAAAAATCCGTAAAATTTACGGTAAAAAACCGGCAGCTGTGGTTACCGGAATTTTACCGTAAAAAATACGGTAGCAACGTTTTAGGTTTTACGGTTTTAACTTAAATTTACAGTTAAATACCGTAATTTTATTTGATATAATGTTAATATACCAACCTATTGAAGTACTGAAATCTGTTTTGTACCTTTGTAATACACTGATAACCACCAAATGCAGGAAAGAGAAAGTCACATGATGAACCAAAGCCCATCACAAGCAGTTTTAGATAATAACATATATAGAAGGTGCACAGTGTCATTCATACAAACACCAAACACCATCACGGTAACACACATGCAACTGAACTAATGCAATAAATATTAATTTAACAACATTAGGTGTAACACACAACCCTAATATACAAAACTGATAAGAAAAAACTAAGAAGAAACATAGTTATTTCAACAAAAAAACATAAAATTTGAAATGTAACGCAGGGAATTCTGGGAATGTCAATTTACGGTTATTCATTGTAAATTATACGGTATTTTTCACTTCTAAAAACGGTATACTACCGTAAAATTGATGTCCAATACATGTAATGTCCAATACAGTTTTTCACCATATATAGTAGGGGAATTTACCGTTAACCATTTAACAGGCTTTTACTGTAGCATTTTTACAGTCTTTTACCGTTAAATTCACGGTAATTTTTTACAGTGTAACCAGGTGCACACACTACAAAACATTCAGTGAAGAGGCATTCCCGATCATCAGCGAAAATATGTTTTCTCACATAAATTCTCGCGAGAAATTATAGCGATTATAGGCCGTATCTTCAAGCATGGACGATCAACTGGCCCATCAATTGGTCTGTGCAGTTATTTTATCCAAAAGAAGGAAGAAACCACGACAAAAGAGTTGGAAGAACGTGGACAACAAGGACTGTCAGTACTGCAGTAAGAGTTGGAGGTAATTAAACAGTGCAAGCAAACGTGGTATTATATACACAATCTATGCATTTGTTAAATTTATTTCTAGTTAGTTGATTTGGTAGGGGAATTTACCGTTAACCATTTAACAGGCTTTTACTGTAGCATTTTTACAGTCTTTTACCGTTAAATTCACGGTAATTTTTTACAGTGTAACCAGGTGCACACACTACAAAACATTCAGTGAAGAGGCATTCCCGATCATCAGCGAAAATATGTTTTCTCACATAAATTCTCGCGAGAAATTATAGCGATTCAAGCATGAATCTTCAAGCATGGACGATCAACTGGCCCATCAATTGGTCTGTGCAGTTATTTTATCCAAAAGAAGGAAGAAACCACGACAAAAGAGAATATGGCAGAAACAATGACTTGGAAGAACGTGGACAACAAGGACTGTCAGTACTGCAGTAAGAGTTGGAGGTAATTAAACAGTGCAAGCAAACGTGGTATTATATACACAATCTATGCATTTGTTAAATTTATTTCTAGTTAGTTGATTTGATTAATGTGTGGCTTTTCGTGTCTGTTCATAAAGATGCATGATAAGAGTGTTTATACCATCTGCACTGTGATTGGCTAGATTAGTTCCACCTTGTCATTGTGTCGCTCACATTACGAGATCGCGTGGCGATAATATCAAACAGGTTTGAAAATATCGTAGCGTCTGTGATAGCTCGAGACAGGTTCGGATCACGTTGCTGACCTGCTCATACTTAACGAGCTTCGGCAACCACAACGAGCACCGATTTGGTCACAATCCGGGGTTTTGTTGCAGACTGTGGAAATCTGTTCGTTACCGCAAAATCCAGCCAAAAATCCTGTAGTGTGTGCCCGGCTTTAGCTATGCTAGATTGAGGAAAAATCTCCAGCATGTGATCAGATTTTATCATGACTGGAGCTCAGTTCAATATGGATCTGGACCTGGTTTATTTGCTTCTAAATTTTCATCAACACATTCATTGAAATCTGAATATAATCGGGTCATCAATAATGTGGATGTGGATGATTCTGCAGTATAAGACATGGGACAACTCTATTAGTGAGTTGCCTACTATCACAGGGACATGATAAAACCTTTTCACTGCTGACATTATCTTCTATAATAAATAATGTTTGGACAGTTAACACAGTAACTTTGGGGTAGGGGAACTGGGTTATGCCCCTTGTCTGTAGGCTACCAGGTCATCGCTCTACCACCTGATTACTGCAGATTCATTTTGCAGGTGACACTAAACGCACAATCATAATTACCTTAATTATAACGACACATTCAGCTTTTATCTGAACATTTATCGCTCATACCAGTTAAAAAAAAAGTCACCGCTCACCACTGGGCTCTGACAGTGGTTTGCAAAGCGGTCTCAGTTTCAAGAATATGGTCTGAACGACTTCTGTTGTAAATAATAAAAGAATCATTCATTCTAGTAAATTCTTTTTATTTAATCAGTTAGATTATTTTGTGAAACGGTCTGAATCATTCAGCTTTTATCTGAACATTTATCACTCATACCAGTTAAAAAAAAAGTCACCGCTCACCACTGGGCTCTGACAGTGGTTTGCAAAGCGGTCTCAGTTTCAATAAAATTCTTATGGAGCAGCAGAGGAACATTATAAGGATGGTGCAAGGTCTCAAATCAAACAATGTTCACGGCATCACAGAATCTAACCATTTAAATCCAAAATGGTTTCCAATTAAAGACTTAAGGTCATTAACTTCCCTGCAAGTGATCTTCAATCCTGTCCGGAAACAAGATAAAAAGTGGAAGGTAACAGTCTCCGTTATGCATAGTTGCATACTGTTATCACTCTGGTCTGGTTGTAATTACTGTTATAATTAAATGGTGTGTGTGATCAATCTTAGTGTTTTAGCTTAATAGTGACAGCATGCTTAAAAATATTTCAGGTACTTGAACTTTGATTGGAGTGGATGTGAAGGACATGGTCTGGCGAATTATGAGGCAGGCAATCAAAAATGACTTGGCTAAAGCGGAAAACACCAAACCAAAATTTGGAGCATAAAAACATTGTGATTGGTAAGTGCATTTTTATTGTAAGTTTCTGTTTCAAGTTTCTGTGACTCCAAAAACTCATAAGTCACAATAACATAAGAGTTTATTGTGAAACTGTTTCAGCACACAAACCAGAAGTAAATGATCTGCTGGTTGTCTTCCTGTGACTAAACACATAACAGACCCTCAGCCATCGTGTCACAGCGTTTAATGCGTCTCTGGAGGTTGACAGATGAACTGTGAGCTTTTTCTCACAGCAGGCCGAGGTGAGATAAAAGGAAACATAGCGCTGTGAAGCCCATACCTCTCATGACATCACCGTTAAATGCTTCCCGACCCCCACAGCTGCTGAGTGAGAAACACCCTCACGCTTCCTGCATGAACCATCTCAACAATTCACATCATTTACCCTGGGAAAAACGCCTCACTGCCAGCCACGACTTTCCATGCAGTGCCGACAAAAAATGAGAAACCCCTTGTTATTTTGTGGTCACAAAAGCCTAATAAAATGACCTTTGATTTAATTTTAATAGTGTTTCCCAACCCATATCAGATTGGACACTGATGTTACAGAGATCGTGGGTGGATGTAATACTAGATTTTTCAATCAGAACTACTGTTTAGCCCAGAAGTAGTCCATACAGCTTTGTTCTTTTTCAAGTCCACTAAAGTCAAAATTGAAAGTCATTATTTGCTGGTAATTTTTTAGTGACGTTCTTTATCAAAGAAAATAATGTCTTGTCCTACTTTTTTGTTTGTTTTTTTGCAGTTACAAGGTGACATAGGGCATATATGGGGAATAACATTTATGTTCTTCCCCATATACACCCTATGTCACCTTATAACTGCAAAAAACAAACAAACTTTTTATGTGCATATTTTAATGTCTGGTGAAGAAAACCAGTCAGAAAAAGCTAAACAAAAGCCATCTTTTGGAAAATAAAAGATGTAGGGCCAGACTTGGTTCTGTGCATTAAGTGTTGACTGGAGCTTGCAGATGATTGTAAGAAAGGGGTGGATGTAAAGATTGGAAGTTATGACAATTTAAACAAAAAATTATGAGGTCAAAAATGTTTTAAAAGAAACATGCATGAAAAATTGTTCATAATAAGAGCAATAACACACATTTAGAAACGAATTCCCATTTCATGCAGACTTCAAACGCTGCAGGTGCTGACACAGTTTACTCCCATTTTGGTCAAATCAGTTTGAAAAGCACTCTCAACAACTAAACAACAATTGCAAAAGAATCGTTCATTCTAGTCAATTCTGTTCAAAGAATCAGTCAGATTGGTTTGCAAATGTTCTGAATGACTTGTTTTGTGAAGAGCAAAATAATTGTTAATTCCAATTGATTATTTTCAAAGAAAAGGTCTAACAGGTTCAGAAAGTGGTCTGAAAGACTTTTTAGAGTTGCAGAAAATTTGCTCGCTCTAGTCGATTCTTTTTCAAAAAACTATCTTGGTTTGAAAAGCGGTCTGAATGACTCATTTCACGAATCACAAAATAATCATTAATTCTAGCAGAATCGAACTTTTCTTCTTCTTATTTTTTTATTAAATCTACATTATGCAGCAATTGCAGTCGACTTGAACTGAACCTATAATTTTCCCTCAAAGGTTCATAATTTTTCTGTCCTATAAACTGCCACTTCTTTGGACATTTGCCCTTTTGGTAGAAATTGATTGGAGTGGATGTGAAGGACATGGTCTGGCGAATTATGAGGCAGGCAATCAAAAATGACTTGGCTAAAGCGGAAAACACCAAACCAAAATTTGGAGCATAAAAACATTGTGATTGGTAAGTGCATTTTTATTGTAAGTTTCTGTTTCAAGTTTCTGTGACTCCAAAAACTCATAAGTCACAAGGGTTCACAAGAGTTTATTGTGAAACTGTTTCAGCACACAAACCAGAAGTAAATGATCTGCTGGTTGTCTTCCTGTGACTAAACACATAACAGACCCTCAGCCATCGTGTCACAGCGTTTAATGCGTCTCTGGAGGTTGACAGATGAACTGTGAGCTTTTTCTCACAGCAGGCCGAGGTGAGATAAAAGGAAACATAGCGCTGTGAAGCCCATACCTCTCATGACATCACCGTTAAATGCTTCCCGACCTCCACAGCTGCTGAGTGAGAAACACCCTCACGCTTCCTGCATGAACCATCTCAACAATTCACATCATTTACCCTGGGAAAAACGCCTCACTGCCAGCCACGACTTTCCATGCAGTGCCGACAAAAAATGAGAAACCCCTTGTTATTTTGTGGTCACAAAAGCCTAATAAAATGACCTTTGATTTAATTTTAATAGTGTTTCCCAACCCATATCAGATTGGACACTGATGTTACAGAGATCGTGGGTGGATGTAATACTAGATTTTTCAATCAGAACTACTGTTTAGCCCAGAAGTAGTCCATACAGCTTTGTTCTTTTTCAAGTCCACTAAAGTCAAAATTGAAAGTCATTATTTGCTGGTAATTTTTTAGTGACGTTCTTTATCAAAGAAAATAATGTCTTGTCCTACTTTTTTGTTTGTTTTTTTGCAGTTACAAGGTGACATAGGGCATATATGGGGAATAACATTTATGTTCTTCCCCATATACACCCTATGTCACCTTATAACTGCAAAAAACAAACAAACTTTTTATGTGCATATTTTAATGTCTGGTGAAGAAAACCAGTCAGAAAAAGCTAAACAAAAGCCATCTTTTGGAAAATAAAAGATGTAGGGCCAGACTTGGTTCTGTGCATTAAGTGTTGACTGGAGCTTGCAGATGATTGTAAGAAAGGGGTGGATGTAAAGATTGGAAGTTATGACAATTTAAACAAAAAATTATGAGGTCAAAAATGTTTTAAAAGAAACATGCATGAAAAATTGTTCATAATAAGAGCAATAACACACATTTAGAAACGAATTCCCATTTCATGCAGACTTCAAACGCTGCAGGTGCTGACACAGTTTACTCCCATTTTGGTCAAATCAGTTTGAAAAGCACTCTCAACAACTAAACAACAATTGCAAAAGAATCGTTCATTCTAGTCAATTCTGTTCAAAGAATCAGTCAGATTGGTTTGCAAATGTTCTCAATGACTTGTTTTGTGAAGAGCAAAATAATTGTTAATTCCAATTGATTATTTTCAAAGAAAAGGTCTAACAGGTTCAGAAAGTGGTCTGAAAGACTTTTTAGAGTTGCAGAAAATTTGCTCGCTCTAGTCGATTCTTTTTCAAAAAACTATCTTGGTTTGAAAAGCGGTCTGAATGACTCATTTCACGAATCACAAAATAATAATTAATTCTAGCAGAATCGAACTTTTCTTATTATTATTTTTTTTAATTAAATCTACATTATGCAGCAATTGCAGTCGACTTGAACTGAACCTAAAATTTTCCCTCAAAGGTTCATAATTTTTCTGTCCTATAAACTGCCACTTCTTTGGACATTTGCCCTTTTGGTAGAAATCCCTTCTGTGAACTACACACAAGTTCATATTGCATGAATATGTGTGCTTGGTAATGATGACAAGCTTGGATTGTTCTTAGTTTTCCCATTTAAAATTTATATGAGCGGATTAGATGCGTGTGTGTGTGTCCTGAGGCTCATTGTTACCAGTGCTGATGTCATAGTGTTTTCCTGAATCCCAGCTCTGAGGTCATTGTCTAAAGAGGTTGATCAAAGGTCAGCCGATCTCACACGTCAAGAAAATACACAACCCGGTGTAAGAGCAATTGACACCGACACTGGGCCGCTTCCTTTGAGATTTCATTGAACCGTTTTCACAAAGCTTTCTTCTTCTGCCCAAAGCTACCATTCTGAAATGTTAATATTTGATATTTTTGTTTGTTTGAACAGCTTACGGTATACAGTAAACGAAACATATTTCTAAACAAATACTGAGAAATTAGAAATATATTTCTCTAATCTCACGGTTTACTTAATTGTAAGGGTGGAAAATTATGACTACAATAGGGGAAAAACACATCTCTTCTGCTCACCAAAGCTCAACTTTCTCTTTGGAGTGTTGTAAGCTGTTCGTGAATAGATAAGATCCCTAAAGTTGCAAAGACTAAAGTCTCAAAGACAAAGAGATATTCTTTATAAAAGTTGACTCATCCACGTCTTCCTAAAATGCCTCGTTTAAACACGCCCCCACATGTCTACGTCACTGTGTGGGAAGATTTGCATAACACCGCCCAAATGTTCACGCAAAGAAAGAAGGCATAACTTTATTGTTGCTGCCACCGCCGTCGCTGCTGCCATGTTGTGAAGACGCTGTGTGTTTTGTTGTGAAAGTGAAAATACTTTGTTTGGCCTTCCAAAAGAGGACACAACTAGAAATCAGTTTTTAAGTTGTATTTACAACACTGTTCCAGAACAGTTCAACCCAAATATTCAGATGTGTCCAGGACTGTTTCCTGATCCTGGAAGAGTAGACTACAATGCCGGCTGTCCTGACTCACAGACTGTAAGTACATTTTCATATTGAAAGAATTTGCCACTGATGATTAAAATGCGAGTTTTGAGCAGTGTAGAGTAGCACTTGTTGTTTGTCACATGGTTTTATCTTTACGCGGCACGATGCAATGCAACGCGTCAAAAGACAGTATAAGTCATTATAATCTGTAATTATGTACCCACTGGATGCAACAAATGCCTCGTTTGTAATGGGTTTTATTGGTGTTGCCTCATCGTGCCGGGACAAGGCATCACAGTATGGTAAGGGGCGTAACATTTCCGTCGCACACTTGAGGTAGTCAGCCAATCATAATGCACTGGATAGCTGGCCAATCAGAGCACACCTCGCTTTTCAGACCGCGAGCTTTGTAAAAATCGACGCGTTTCAGAAAGGCGGGGCATAGAGGAGAAACAATAATGTACAGTATGTGGAAAATAATGTGTTTTTTTAACCTTAAACCGCATAAACACATTTCATTACACCAAATACACAGAATAATGTTATTTTTTTAGCAACGTCAATTAACATGAATTCACATGAATTTTCTATGTGAATATATTTTTTAAATGTAATTTATTCCTGTGATGGCAAAGCTGAATTTCCAGCATCATTACTCCAGTCTTCAGTGTCACATGATCTTTCAGAAATTATTATAATATACTGATTTGCTACTTAAACATTTTTGCTTATTATCAATGTTGAACACAGTTGTGTGGCTTTATGTTTTTTTGTGGAAAGGTTATTTGATGAATAGAAAGTACAAAAGAACATTGTTTACTTGAAATAGAAATGTTATCTAAGATTATACTGTATATGTCTTCATTGTCACATTTGATCAATTTAATAGGCTGCATCATTGCTGAATAAAAGTAGCCTATTAATTTCTTCCAAACTATTAAATGGTCATAATCGGTTCGCAAAGCAGTCTGAACGACTCGTTATGTGAATCGCAAAAGAACAAAGTCCAAAAGAATAGCATTTAATTTAAAATAGAAATCTTTTGTAACATTATAAATGTCTGTCACTTTTAAACAATGTAATGCATCCTTTCTGAATTAAAGTAGCTAGGCTATTCATTTCTTTGAAACGTTTTAAAGTTTGCATTCACTTTCACTCGGAACATCATAGAGCGAATGAATACTCCCAGCGACCGACTGTTGTTTTCTCACACAGATTTCAATCAAATATCGCTCTGCGGTTTCCCTTGCTGGAGGCTTGACGTCTTTCCTCCTCTGTGGCATTGTGGGATACGTCTGTCTGAGGCAGATGGCCGCAGCTCTGCATATCTAAGAGAGTTCTTGTTGAGGAAAGTTGAACAAAGGCTGACCGGCCTGAGCTCCGCACTCCTGGGTTTAATTAGGAAGTATACGCGCGTGTGTGTGTGTGGTACAGCAACAATGGTTGAGCGGGGTAAAAAGTACATGCCGATCGATTACTGACAGCCAGAGCTCTGCGTCACAGCGGACGGTCTGCGGTTAATGCTCACTGGCCTCGCGGGAATAGTGCTGCTCAACGCGGAGGCAGAATTGATGGAAATCATTCAAAAACAAAAAGCCATTGTTTCATAAGAGCCTTACCACCTTCCAGCTCAGCACACAATGACTCCATAATGCTTATCCGTCTCCATAAAAACACACACGCATTGGGAAACTTTGAATGAATCGTGCAAGCTTTATCCACATTATTTTTAATGTAAGCCCACTTACCTTAATGGAACGGCCATTTGTAATTTGAACGTATGCAAGTCAGAGTTTGTCTTACTATTGGGAGAAAGTGTGCCGTAATAACCAATCACATTACAGCCTTGACATCACTGAAATTCAGTCAGCGTTTTGCGACACTCAATCGGCGTTTACGGATACCATTTGAATGAATGAGAAATGCCGTAAGCTGAATCCCACCCGTCACAAAAAGTCAGTGACTTCTCTTATAAAACAGCATTCTTTTCGTGGTAAACTCTAAAAATAGTTCAATCTAAAATGATTGTTTAGTGTAAAACATGTTGAAGATTAGCAGATAGGCTGTCGATTTATTAAATGATAAGTTTGCTCTAAAAAGCTGTTTATTCAGTGTAGTGAAGCCTCTCCTGCACTGACATCCATTCAAAAAAACGACCTCTGGTCTCCTTTCCCACGCAGTCCCAAAGTGGAAGCGTTAGCATTAGCCTTTACGCTTTTTTGGCTAAAGGTTGCAGGCTTGCCTTCTAGTGGCTTTGTGTGAGTCTTCCGTTATCATTCACTTCCTGTTGTTTTAGCTGTACAAAAACCATCTGTTATGCAGCATGATATTCCAAATTTTTTTTTGCATCGTTTTAGCTTTGTTTCTTCTAGTGATTTAACTATAGCGGCTATTGATTAGGAAGTCTCGCAACTTCACAGAAAGTAGATTACTTCCACAATAAGGTGGATGATGTTTAGATATGAACTAAATGGATTTTGCAGATCATGTGTCTGTAAAAATACTGTCAAAAACTGTGCTAATGGCAATTAACTTGTTTTGTGGGTCAGTTCTGCATGCTGGTTGTGTGTTTGCTAACAAGTTGCTACATAAGATGTCTATGGTTATCCCATTCATCAAACTGCCATCCTTTCTTGCGCTAGTTGTACTGCTTGTTTAGCAACTTACATTTTAATTTAAAGCACACAACAGTGTCAAAATTCACATTTGAGGTATAAATGTCATTTGTGTTGTAGAATGAAATGTGAAGATGATCTCAGTAATTTAGAGTAGTAATTAACCTGTAAATGGAGAACCGTTATTCTAAAAACCCATAAGTTGGACCAGGTAAATAG